AATAGAAGAAATGCAGTTAAAATATTAACAATACTGAAATCTGAGGGAAGGAGGTATAGGAGTTCTTTGCCCTGTTCTGGCATCTTCCTACAAGTCAGAGAAAGTCATTTTTTCTGTAAATCATCTTTTCTGCCTGAGGTCAGAAAACAGAATAAAAATCCTGGCTTAAAATGTTTATTTACAAACTTTCCTTTACAATACTCTGAGGGGATAGATTAAGGAGGACAATGTTTTTATGCTCATTTGGAGAAGAGCATCTCAATGTTTTTAAATGAAGTTCCTTTCTCTTCATGGATTTTTCAATAGGCATTTTACAATTCAACGAAGAAAGGAATCTTGATTTACTTATCTTAAAGGTCCTAGCACCTAACACATTTATAATTTAGTCACTGTTATATACATGAACAGGAACTCCCAATATTGTTCTAATCAGAAAATAGTGACCTGGGTATCAAGAATTCTGCTACATGGAAAGGAAAAAACTATCTGTGTCAAGTTAAAATATGTCTGACTGGGGCGCATGGGTGGCTCAGTGGGTTGAAGCCTCTGCCTTCGGCTCAGGTCATGATCCCAGGGTCCTGGAATTGAGCCCCACATCGGGCTCTCTGCTCTGTGGAGAGCCTGCTTTCTCCTCTCTCTCTGCCTGCCTCCCTGCATACTTGTGATCTCTGTCTGTCAAATAAATACATTAAAAAAAAAAAATCTTTAAAAAAATATGTCTGACTGAGGACAGGAAAACATCAAGGATTACCTTTCTTGGGAACTTGAAGGAGGAATAGTATCTGCTCTATAGTCCTAAAAACAGAGGAGTGCATAACCAGCAGCAAAGGTCTTAACCTCAAGAATGGCAAACGGTTGAAAGTTTATAGTAAAAGCAAAACAAAACAAAACAACAAAAACAGAATAAAATGTTAAGAATACAATGAGGTTTTTGGAGAAGACAGTTGACAGTGGAAGATCTTTTAAAAAAATGTGAGAGGCTCTGAGATGATTAGACTGAACTGTATCAAACTGCTGGTAAAGCATATATCCTAAAAGATGAGCAAAATTATTTTGTAATCTAAAGAAATACATTTTCACTGCAGAGACCAACACTCTCCAAGACATTAGACAGTTATTAAAATTATACTCAAAACTTAAGAAGCTGAATAGATTTCATGTAACTCAACACCCTATCTTTCCTGGAGAATACACACATTTTAAAGAACATTTTATAAGCTGTTGTTCCCACTGTGGAACTAGGAAAAAAAAAATTATACATGCCTGCAGATCTATATTACAGTTAACCATAATGAACTTCAGAACTGTTTTTTCTAAGGTTTCAACAACTACTGATTATTACATTGATAGTATATAATTCATGTGCTTTAGAAAACAAATGATATTAATCATTTATTAATCAATCATTAATCATTAATCAATGAAAATCTATTCAAAGCATTATTAGAGAATTAAAAATTGCTATAACTATATTACAACGTCTTTTTCTTATAGAGGAATCTTAAGGTTGAATCTTCTCTAGCATATTACAAGTAAAACAACATTCAGCATTACTATAAATCAGAATCTGTATGGTTTTCATTTTTTTATTTTTTTTTTTAGATTTTGTTTATTTGACAGAGAGAGATCACAAGTAGGCAGAGAGGCAGGCAGAGAGAGAGAGAGGGAAGCAGGCTCCCTGCTGAGCAGAGAGCTCAATGCGGGACTCGATCCCAGGACCCTGAGATCATGACCTGAGCTGAAGGCAGAGGCTTAACCCACTGAGCCACCCAGGCGCCCCATCTGTATGGTTTTTAAATGGAGATTTAAAACTTTTTAGGACCGTTGTAAGAACTGGATGAAATTATGTATATAAAGCCTTTAGCATGTTAGTACAAGTACTCATAAATGGCATTTAATGTATTTATTCTTATAGAAAAGATATGAAACAACCCCCAAATACAGTAAAGTGACTTCAAAACCTATTAGAGATGTCTGTAAAGGCAAATGGAGAGGATCACAGTCAAAAACTAGACCGGTAAATTCAATGAGGAAACCAATCACAATTTATTTATACTGTAGTCCCAGGATCTAACATAGTGCCTGGCACACACAGTAGGCATTCAATAAAGGTTTACTGAAATGAAATAAGTATGAAAGTAAGTTATCTCAAAAGAAAAAAAAAGGTAGTCTAAGACTGTCTGAAAAATAAACTTAGAGTCCAGAAATTACTATTCCCTAAGCAAGTGACTTTCAGAAAGGAAATAAAATACATAAGCATTTTTAAAACCATTCATAGCAACTCCTCTCCAACTGGTCTTTTAAATAATGATCAAGCCACTTTCAAATCTGTTTTGTAATATGTGTCACATATAAGTCTAATATTACAGAAAAGTACTTTAAAATTTCATCTAAATAAATGTGTTCATCCTTAAAGAAGAAAAAAGCACCCAAAGCACTGAGGAATCTTTTCTAACTTCCATTCAAGGAGACTCAGATGAGCTTAATTCACATTCTTGCATCTATTTATATGTGAAAATAAGCTTGAACTTTTACTTACAACTACAATGTAAATACACAGATTTCACTTTCACAAGTTCAACTGCATACTGCAGAAAAGGAAGAGGAAAGAAAGAAAATCAGGTCTCTCAAAAGTGGGCAGTGCTATACAGTACAGAAGAGTAACTAAAAAAACTTTTATCTCAGCAGCCACCTGTTAGAACTCAGCCTTATGGCATAATCTGCACGGTTTTGGAAAATTTTCATATTGAAAACTCAAAATTCCCAGTGCTGTTGGCAAGCGGAAAAAGTGTAATATGAAAATACAGTGCTATCGTCCCCACACTCCTTCCAAAAATAACAGGGATCAATAGACTTAAAAAAAAAAAAGAAAGAAGGAAAAAGACTCTTCCAAGTTATAGCCAATTACCTCACTCACATTTGGAAACTCATCAATTTTCTGAAAAGCAAAACCATACCTTTAATAATACACTCAAATCTGTATAGAGCTTGGCTTCTGAAACAAGCCAGTAAAATATACTTCCAGACAGACAGCTGGAGCTACATCTCTTGGGCCTACTTCAAACTAAAATCTGTGAACAGTATGAAGTAACAAATCAAGTAATAGATCCAAATCAAGTGCTAAAAGAAGGTTTTGAAAACAACCACAAAAATCAACATTAAACACATCTACCTTTCTTAACACAATGACTATATTTTTAGAAAAAAAATAAACCAAGGCTATCAATTTACATTACAGAACAGTTTACAGAATAGTAACAAAGAACTGCATTATGCAGAATAAAATTATTAAGTTATTATTTACTTCCTATAGTGCCCTGAAAAGTGTCACCACCATGATGGCGTGTTAAGAGCTACTGTTCAGTCACTGACAGCATTACAATTATTTTTTAGTCTAATTTCTGGAAAGTTCTGCAGCTTGCCAGTTTAAAAAGCAAACTAAATTAAAAAAAAAATGCCTACCCTCAAATCTGGAAATACACACTGAAGATATTCACAGTTAATTTCTTTTTTAAACTAAGAAACAGTAAGGTCAAAGGCACAAGTGTGTAACATCTGTAGGTGGCTGATCTAAATCGGTAAAAGTCTCTCTGAGATTAACGACTTAAAGTAATATCTTACCAAATATAAGCTGACACGATCTTTAAAAATCACTTTAACCACTAACAATGCAACACTTTTTTTTCCACATCATACACACACACACACACACACACACACACACACACACTTCGTAAATTAAGAACTAAACGTAAATCCAAAACACTAAAAATTATTTAAAGACATAAAAACATACTGGGAATATTAGACCTTTGTTTTTAAATTCGTTTCTCAGATCTACTAGCAGAGCTATTCTGGAATGGATCTTCATTCCAATACAAGATTGTTTAATACGCCAATTCCGTGTGAACATAGCTTGTGAGACTAATTCTTAAAACCTCAGGAGATGCTTAATTACAGCTCTAGTTCCAATTTCCTGCGACTCAAACAGCAATGTACAGAATAGAGCTTAAACACAGTTAAGAAGGGAGAGGAATGAAGGTCCAGGGAACGACCCATTCTTTTGTTTTGGTGTCAGAGGCTGCAAAAATAAAGGTCCATCAGAGCTATCGGCACCTATCCCCACCCATCCTGACGATGCAGAGCACTTTCACCCATCCGCTCAAGACCCTCAAGCCCACGAGATCCGCTGAACCCGTGGCTTTCCGTCTCAAAAAATGGGGGGCGGGGGCGGAGGTTGGGATGTCTGGGATAGAGAAAGAGAGGGAGGACACATATATTTGAGGACAGAGGGACAAGGAGATGCATCTGGCTGGGGAGGATGGGACGCGCCACTGAGACTTGCAAATTCGCTGGGAGAAAAGCCCCACGGGACCGACGGAGGATGTTGCCTGTTCAGGGATGGGGACAGAGAGGGGTATAATCCTCCACAAAAGAAAGGAGACACATTACTGGAAACCCCGTGAGGGCGTGAACTAGGCAGCGCTGAACTCGGAGCCCAAAAAGGGTTGAGATAGCCTCATACACACTCGTATGGTGAAGCTGAGACTTACGGTTACTTCCCGGGCTGAGGGTAAGAGTCAGGTGGACCCCGCAGCTCTGCAGTTCTGCCACCGCCGTGGCCGCCTCTGCCTCTCGCGCGGAGCAGGTGACCTCAGGTACCCTCCCCGCCCCACCCACCCAGGCGGGCGCCCCCTCCTCGCTTGCCCGGGTGCGTCCGCGGGACAGAGGCTGCTGGGGCTGAGGGTGCGCACTAGAGGCCCGCGAGGAACCCTGCGTGAGACGGAGGCGCCTGCGACGAGACTCAGACTGGGCTGGCGCCCCCCATCCCTCTCTGGCCGCCGCGCCGCCTCACTCAAGGGAGGGGAAGAGGGGGCGGTGGCTTTTGCCTCCGCCTCGCGGTCAAGTCCGGCTCATGCTCAAGCCTTGCGCGCGCGCACGCAGCCCGGGCCGCCCTCCTCCCCTCCCCTGCAGCAGGCTCAGCCGCTGGCGTGCCGGCCGCTGCCACCTCTGTCCTCGAGCCGCCGCCACCAACCCCAGACAGCCCGCAGCCCCAGCGGGAAGCAGCAGGAACGGCAGCAGCTCGTCCGTCGACCCGGAAGCTCTTCCGCCGCCAACTGCGACGCTGCAAGGGGTGTAAACCCGGAAGTGATTTCCTCGCCCCGGTAGCGGCGGGGTGGAAAGGAAAAGCGTTTGAAGACCTGGAAACCCTTAACTTCGGGAGAGGGTGGTATGGTGCTGAGGTGCGAGAAGAAGGAAGGACAATAAAGAACTAGTCCACAAGAGTTGCTCCGAGTCCAGAGACCCGGGCTTTTAATGCGCGTTTTGGGAAGAGGGGCCGAACACGCCCGGAGACTTCTGGTGGCCACCAAGGGTTTTCCTGTCACAGGAAGTTAGGCCCGGCTGCTGGGAAACAGAAGGGAAGGAGGAATGAGAAAGCGGTGACGGCACCCCGCCCCGCAGGTGACTGTCCCACCCAGTGAGTTGAATGTAGCGGCCCGGGAGGTGCTCGGCCGCCCTCACGGGTGAGACGAGAAGGAGCGAGGACCAGACTCCAGCGAGAGAAAACAGAGGTGGGAGGCTGAACTATCTCTACATCTAGTTTCTCCAGGCAAGGAATTTATTTCTTACAAGTAGTAACAAAGAAGCCAAAGCCACTCTTGGGGTGGCAGCTTTTTGAGGAAAGAGCCATGCACGTCCTTTCCTGGTAGTGGACTTTGGTGGGTGGTGGCAGAGGAAAAACCTAGGCAGATTGTTATTTTTGTCATTTCAGGGAAAGCGATTTACAACCTGTCATTCCAGCTTAGCTCGCCCCTACACTTCTTTCCATCTTTTGAGGCTTTCTGGCCTTCTTTGCTTTTTATTCATAGTGGGTTTTTTTTATTTTAATCTTCAGAAGAAATCTTTGATGTAGCTGGCCCGACTCTGGATCTCACTCCCATTCCCTTCTCCCTCTGTTGGAGAGCTTGTGTGCCTTCACAGTTTGTTTGCAAATGCGTCTTTCTCTCTGCATCTACAGTCTCTTAACTGCTTTGAGAGCCTCATCTTATTTGGGGGAAATGCCAGAAATACAAATGTGTTTTTATAACAATATAAAAACAATTCACTCCATGACCTTTGCCCGTTAACCCCATGCTACTGTATTAGTTGGTTCTCTTAGAATTGGGTTGCAGAACTACAGCAGCAGCTGATAGATAGCATATTTACATATGCTAAGCATGAAATCATGGTCCTGTAAATAACCTTGGTCTTCACTGTAGAATTTCATTTGGTTCCCAATGCCAGTATTACTTAGTTCCTTCTCTGTAAGCCAAATTCAGTGTAATTGCCTTCAAAAGCAATTTGAAGATTATTAATGTCTTAAATTACAGAACAGAATGTCAATTAACAGAAAGCTTTTGAAAATTATCAGTGACACTTGTTGACCTTGATAAGTGATGATTAGGAGAATTGGTTGAATGGACAAGGAGAAAGCAAGCTAACATAGGAGTAGCACCGATGGCTTTTCCTAATCTACTTTATTAATACTTCCTCCCTTTGTAGCAAAAGGATGAGATTTTTATGGTCAGCAAATCCCTGTAGAAGAATTCTTACATTTAGTCTCCATCTCTTTCTTTTTAATGTTATAATGCTTTAAAATAGTGAATTGTTCTAGGAGAATGCAGAAGGATCAAGTAACTTAGCTACTCTGCCTCAGCTTTTTTTCCCTGTAAAATAGGGATGATAATGTCTACTTTCATCGGGTTTAGGGGGAATAAAATGAATTAATATATGGAAAGCACTTAGCATAGTGTCTAGCACATAATCACTCTAGGTGTTAGCTATTCACATTACTTTACAAACATTAAATGTTATATTCAGAAAACAAAAGCAATAAAGACTTAAGGACAACCTGATAAAATCACTATGTGGATAGAAAAATTTTGTGGGTTTGGCTTGGTTTGGTTATTTAAAGTTGACATATGTTTAAAAAGATTGAGAAACATCGCTTAAGGATGGAAAAAGGTAGATCATTTTCTGTCTCAGGAACATTTTATAGAGACCTAAGATAAAGTCCCATTTTTTGGTTTTTACTTATGAAGACACATTCTGATCATTGGTGGTAATTTCTATTAGCATGCACTTTGCAAACTGGTAAATCCTCTTGTCAACTTTGACTTGTGCTTATTAAATTTATAATACCCATATTCACATACTATATTTTCTCTTTTTCTCTGGTGTAAAAAGGCTTTATTTTGTTCATCAGTACCCAACATAGCAAATTATTTTTTTGAAGATATTATTTACTTTTTGTTAAATAGGACTGTATGGTATAGCAAAGAAATGTTGAAAAGCCTGCCCCATGGGGACTAAATGGCATTTGCACACCTCCCCTTTCCCAGTCACAGTGATAACCAGAAATGTCCCTACATATTTCCAAATGATGCCATGTAGGGTGCCACCCCCAACTGAGAACCACTTCTGCATATTTGTAAGGTCTCATTGCTTGGAACATTATCATTTATGCCTAAGCATTTTTCAGAATAGAATGAGCCATAAGAAAGTGCCACTTAGTCACCTGAATTATCTAAAACTTAGTCTAAACATAGACTAAGTTTTACTTCTAAGCTAACTTTAACTCTACCTTTCTCTATTATTTTTAGCTCGAGTTATTCTTTTCCAGTCCCTCTGCGTGTGTTTTTGCCTTAGCAGTTTTGCCTTGGTATGTTAGTAGCTTTTATTCTTTTCCTAACTTAAGCCTTAGTTTTCTTCTTTCATGTCACAGGGAATATGTATATTTCAAATATTCAAGTATGAATATTTCTTGAAAATTAATTGTTAGAATCTTTCAGAGATATGTTTACATTGAATGGTATAAAAACAAAATACTATAATCCTCACGGTCATGCCTTTTTTATTAATCATATTTATCTTTTAAAAGTTAAGTGTAGGGACGCCTGGGTGGCTCAGTGGGTTAAATCCTCTGCCTTCTGCTCAGGTCATGATCTCAGGGTCCTAGGATCGAGCCCCACATCGGGCTTTCTGCTCAGCAGGGAGCCTGCTTCCTCCTCTCTCTCAGCCTGCTGCTCTACCTACTCGTGATCTCTCTGTCTGTCAAATAAATAAAATCTTCTTTTAAAAATCTTATAGTATTTAATTTCTATACAATTTACTACATTTCACTTCTCTACAAAGAATTCCAAAGTGCATAAAATGTGTATAAATTCATTGTAGTAAAATGTTATCTACATTCTCATTGAAGTAATCATATGGAATAGCTTTATCTATATTTTATATATATATATAAAATTAAAATTTGAAAAATGACAAATAATTATAAGAATAATTTAGATCTAAAAATTCTTCTAATAAAGAATGAAATAGGGACGCCTGGGTGGCTCAATGGGTTAAAGCCTCTGCCTTCAGCTCAGGTCATGATCCCAGGGTCCTGGAATCGACCCCCACATCAGGCTCTCTGCTCAACACGGAGTCTGCTTCCCTTCCTCTCTCTCTGCCTGCCTCTCTGCCTACTTGTGATCTCTCTCTCTGTGTCAGATAAATAAAATCTTAAAAAAAGAAAAAGTGTACTGTGCAGTACTAAATATTCCAGAGAAATGGTATTAACAAAGCATTTTGCCAGATTTTTTTTTAAACGTAAGTTGACCAGCACAGAAATTGATTGCTTTAAATTGTGTTTCGAAAACTAAAGATTACTTGATTTTTCTTTTAGGTACTTAATAGAAAAATGTTATGTGCTACATATGTTATAGGGTGTATTCACAATACAATGTGTTTTTTTTTTTAAGCAAGGTAGGTAGTGCTTGAAATACAAATACTTGTTGGAAGTTCCTCAATGGACACTTAAAATCAGTCTGGGGGGAAAGTGTGTGTGTGTTTGTGTGTGTGTGTGTAAAATACATATTTGGAAGAAAATGCTGGAGTTATCTAGGGAATTGATAATGGAAGTAGAAAATATTTGCAAGTCCACATTGAAAGATTTTATCCACTGACCACAAGTTTTTGACTATGATAGGCATTGCCAAGGAATATTATAAGGTATACTTTAGCTTATCCAAATGTCAAATATCAAGGTTCTTTCTAAAGATTTTGGAAATAATGTCAATGGCAGCTGCCTATTTCCAGCTTCCACACTATTAACAATATGACATTTACTTGTGTCATGTATGGAAAATAAGTGTAGTATTTAGGTCATTATTTGCTTAGTATTTAGAAGATATTTTATAATCATATCACTTTTTTTTTTAGGTCCAAAAGACAGATTCTTATGCAGTTTAGACATACAAAAGTATGTATCTCCATTAAAATTTTTTTACCTTTCACAGAAAAGGGAAAAAGGACCAAGAGGAAATCTTAAAATTATAAGTTAAGGTTTTGAGTAGTTCAGGATTAAGATAGTCATCTCTGGCTTACCTTTTAGGTAGTATATATATTCCAAGATAGAAAAATAAACATGTTGTTTTTAAAATTGTTTTTCAAAGTGATTATGCTAATTATGTATCTCTTAATATTGCAGGGGATTTCCGTGTTTGTTTTGTAAAGCAATGGGAAATCCAGAAAACATAGAAGATGCATATGTTGCTGTTATTCGTCCAAAGAATACTGCCAGTCTCAATTCTCGGGAATACAGAGCTAAGTCATATGAAGTAAGAACAATTTACTGACATTTGATTTGCTACCACTGAATGTCATTTTCATTTACATAGAGTCTTATCATCTCCTCTAAATTCTTGTTGACAACCTAGATCTTGAAAAGATAGAATTGACCTTCCTATATCTCTGCCCATCACGAAGTCTTTTTGTCTGTTGCATGCCTTTTGACCATTTTTCTATTGATTAATAGGTATAAATTATTAGACGTTAAAAAATAGTCACTTGAGTTTTCCTTATAACATATAGATTCAGTTTTTAGTATGATTTATTAAATGGCTCTCAAAAACTAAAGTTGCAGAAGTCAGCTCATTTCAAATTCAATGTAAATATTGTTCTTGGCTATTTCCCTAAAGAACTCTTTTTTATAGTGCATTTTAAAATATCTTTTTACCTTTAATTAAAGTTTTAGACAATTAAGTTACTTCTCTGTAGTCCCGAATTGTATTAATTATATTAGAAAATGTGATTGAAGCCAAAAAACCCCCAAAAACCCTAAAACAGAATTATCTTATCTATAACAGATTCCAAGCATCATAGAATACTGCTAATCTAACCTACCTCCAACTAATTTCTCTAGCACTTTGCTCAAATTGCTTTTTTAAGGTTAGTTACCTGAAACCTATTAAAAGATACCGCAAAGGCTCTCAGGATGCTACTGCTTCGGCAGTGCTCTGGGTTACTAGTTCTCAATCCTGGCTGCACTGTGGAATCATCTGAGAACTTTAAAACTTCCAGTACCAGGGCCCCATTCACTAGATATTGCTATTGTCTCAAAAGCTTCCCAGGATATTCTAATATGAAGCTGGGGTTAGGAAAGACTGCTGACTTACTATATTCTAGGGCAAGTAAACTTTATTTTAAGCTTTCTCTCTTTAAATTTTTCTCATCTAAGATTTTGTTGCATGAAGTTCCCATTGAAGGACAGAAAAAAAAGAGAAAGAAAGTTTTGTTGGAAACTAAACTTCAGGGCAACAGTGAAATAACACAAGGCATACTGGATTATGTAGTAGAAACCACCAAACCAATTTCTCCTGCAAACCAGGGTATTAGAGGTAGGAAACTTTTTTCTTTTTTCTTTTTTTTTAAATATAGTTTGCTTTGAATGCTTGTAGAGAAAAATATTTTTTAAAATGTGTTAAGATCATTTTCTTCTGCGTTGCCTAGCTGGCTTATTTGTTAGTGTGTGACTTTTAATCTTGGAGTCATGAGTTCAAGCCCCATGTTGGGTGTAAGGATTACTTAAGAATAAAGTCTTTTTTTAAAAAATAAAGGCAGGGAGATCAATTTCTTTTTATGTACCTTTCCATTTAAAAAAACTTGAGGGGTGTCTGGGTGGCTCAATCAGTTAAGCATCTACCTCTTGGTTTAAGCTCTGGGCATGATCTTGGGCTTGTGAGATCCAACTGCCTCCCACTCCGCACATAGCAAGGAGTCTACTTGAGATTCTCTGCCTCTCTCTCCCCTCCACACCCTGCTTTCACAGGCATGCATTTTCTCTCCCTCACTTTCAAATAAATAAAATCTTCAAAAAAATTTTTTAAAGAATCAGAAAGCTTTTTTTAGGTTATAACAATGCCCTTCAAGAAATACCTTGACTATGAGGCTCCTGGGTGGCTCAGTCAGTTAAGTGTCTGCCTTCAGCTTGGGTCGTGATCCTGGGTCCTGGGTCCTGGGTCCTGAGCAGGGAGCCTGCTTCTCCCTCATTCTGTACTCCCCACCCCAGCTCGTTCTTTCTCTCTCTCAATAAAGTCTTATATTAAAAAAAAAAAAAAAATTTGACTATAATATTTTTTTAAGTTGAAAAATAGTTAAATAAGTTGCAGTGTTAATGATTTGTTCAGTAGGAACAGGAAACCAAAGAGTGACTTGAAAACAAAGAAAATGCACATCACTTTTGCTACAAGTATAGTTCTCTAGTTAAGTATCCCTGAACTACTATTTTTAGTTTTCTACTTCAGGACAGAGGAAACTAAAAACCTTGCATCATACTAAACGAAAGTTAAGATTCATGGATTAAGGGCACCTGGGTGGCTCAGTGGGTTAAGCCTCTGCCTTCGGCTCAGGTCATAATCTCAGGGTCCTGGGATTGAGCCCCGCTGAGCAGAGAGCCTACTTCCCTCTCTCTTCTCTTTCTGCCTGCCTCTCTGCCTACTTGTGATCTCTGTCTGTCAAATAAATAAATAAAATCTTTAAAAAAAAAAAAAAAGATTCATGGATTAGAATCCTGTAAGTTGCCAGGTGGTAGAGGTTTCTTCCTATTTGGTCACAGGAAGAAGATCCTTTTCAAAGAGCCAAACAATTACTGAAGTATTAAATTTGAAAGGTTCAGTCACCATTTAAAATATTAGGTAATATATAGCCTAGGAAACTGTTTAGAAATTAATGATAATTTTCTCAGGCTGTAGCCTCACAAAACGTGAGAGAAAACTTAAAAGTTAGAGAAATTTAAACTATATCCAAGATTCAGGCATTATTATTAAAAAGCTAAAGCTAATTTCAGTCAAATGGCTATTAAAAACAGTTGTTGATGAGGTAAGGCATACTTCTGTTTATTCAGTGTTGGTTTTTTTTTTCCTATTAATCTTTCTAGAGATTGTCTAATTCATCTGTCTCAGTAAAGAGTCTGTTTTTGTTGCAGAGATAGGGCTGAATCTTGTGATTTGAATTACTATTTTGGGTATTTGTTCTGTAGAGATAGCTGAACTATAAGCCTCTGATTCATAATTTTTGGAGCTATCATTCATCATTTTTTGCCTTTCCAATAGGTAACCTTCCCAATAGGGCCTGAATTGTTGGGGCTCTAAGCATTATAACTCAAGATTATAATAAGTTACTGCATAAATGTACAGATCCTTGATACATATTCTGAGTCCTGCAAAGAGAATCTCCTTTTCCTAATTATCAGATTGACTTTTTAATAAGATAAAATTATCTAGAAATTGAGCTTAGCTTAAAAAAAAAAAAAAAAAAAAAAAAAGGACTATCCTTATGGGTGACCCAAAGACTCTTTTTGGATGCCACAAATTTGTCAGTCTTTTCTACCTCGGTCTTGACGTTCTCTGATAAATTTTCATTTAGACTTGTTTTACTATTAATAAATTGTTATAGTTATCAGGATATTTCCTGAGAGCACATTCCTGAGACCTATATCCAAGTCACATATTTGAGCTAAGATAGACAAGTCATAATTTGCTCTGAATTAGCCAACTTCTGTCACTTGGTCCATTTACCCAGATGGGGGATGAAAGTGGTGTCAATGTTAACAAAGATGTCCTCTGGCCCAGAGAAAGGAGTAGTACTCTTAGAAAATTTCCTGGCAGCTTTTTTTTTTTTTTTTAAGATTTTATTTATTTACTTGACAGAGAGAGATCACAAGTAAGCAGAGAGGCAGGCAGAGAGAGGGGGGAAGCAGGCTCCTTGATCCCAGGAGCCTGAGACCATGACCCAAGCCAAAGGCAGAGGCTTAACCCACTGAGCCACCCAGGCACCCTATTTTAACTCCTCTTAATGCTGCCTTTTAAAAAAATATTCTAGTTCTCAAAAAAGAAAATTAGCTCTTAACCAGAAAACAAACCAATAGTTACTACTGAGGGGCTGGGTGGGAAGATGGGGGAAATAGTGAAGGAGATTAAGAGTATACTTATCTTAATGAGCACCGAGTAATATATGGATTTGTTGAATTGCTATATTGTAAGCCTGGAACTAATATAACACTGTTAGCTGCACTGGAATTAAAATAATTTTTTTTCTTATTCTCAAGGAAATTTATAAAATTTAAAAGCCCATTATTTTTATTTTCACTGATTTTTAAAATGGTTAGGAAAGCGAGTGGTACTAATGAAGACATTTCCTCTGGATGGGGAGAAGATGGGGAGAGAAGCAGCATTATTTATTGTTCCATCAGTTGTCAAAGGTAAAGTCTAAGTTTTATCAATCTTTATGTACTTTAGATGCTAAATAAAAGTCTACTGAGGAATTTAGTAACTTGCATTCATGGTTATTATTATAATACTGTTTTAAAACAGTATGACATTTAATACTGTAAAACAGTATTACATTTAAAACTGTTTACCTATTTTTCAGTTAGTAGTTAAGATGAGGAAATTTATTACTTAAAAAAGTATTTTGATTTCAAAGTAATATTCAGCCTTCTGGACTAAACAGTAATGTTTTTGTTTCTGGTTTTAAAAGCAGAATAAAGAAATGAGGAGGGAAGCTATAATTGAAATTAAAAATTTTCAGATTATAATAAGGGATTTTTCAAAGGATATGACTAGAAACATATTTCAGTATTTTGGAACATTAACAGACTATGATCAGGACCTGTCTGGGATTTGGCACAAGAAGGGGTTAATAATAATTCTAAAATACTCTGCCTAACAACATTGGTAATATTTAAAGAGTTTAGATTTAATGTAAAAATTTAATTTGAGTCTTTGACATCCTGAAATAATTGAAAAACACTAAATTTCAGTGCAGACCTTTCAGCCTACTAAATTTGTGCCTTTGGGCAAATCACCTCTTCTAAGCCTCCGCTCTATTTGTAAGATAGGTATCTTCTTCTACTAAGTTCATTGTGCTAGAAGCATTCAATGAGGTATTAGATTTGAAAACCACTTTGGAAACTTTAGAGTACTGGCCTCCTATGAGGCAGTAATAATTCTGATGATAAATGAATGACCCAGTGTGGATATGCCATTATCCTGCTGCTCACACAGTACTTATATGTATTTTATTAGCCAACTCTAACATTCCAGATACATATTTTTTTTCCCAGCTATACTTAGGCTGAAAAGTACACTATTTTAAATGGTGTTGGAAATCTTATTAATCAGTTTTACAATATTGTTGAAGAAGAAAAAGAGGAAACAATTTCTGCAATCCTGCAAGAAGAATATACGTCTCCTAATTCCGAATGGATAAGGTCACAGAACTAGTCATCAGTTTAATCAAGGTCTTCTATATCCAAATCTAAAACAACTCATGTTACACTGAACTACTTTTTAAAACATACTGTATAATTTTAAATGAAAAACATGCAATTGTAAACCTTTTATATGATGGCATTATTCATTTTCTTTTTCAGATAATACTAAATATACGTATACTCCAGGATGCCCAATTTTTTACTGCTTACAAGATATTATGCGAGTCTGTAGTGAATCCAGTACTCATTTTGCTACACTTACAGCAAGGATGTTAATAGCCTTGGATAAGTAAGAAATGCCACTAAAAATATTTTTTTAAATAAGTCAAATACATAGTAGAAATTAGCTCTGATAGAACAGAAGAAAATAATAAAATTAGTAATACATGTATGTAACATAATATAAAGTTTTTGAAGTATAAGATAAAAATGAAAAGCCCCAAAGACAAGATTGTCCTGGTTTGCCTGCACCAGCTAATCGTCTTTCAAAAATGACAAAGACTGCCCTGGATTGAGAATTAAGATTCCTTGTTATACAACTAGATTTAGTTTTTGTTTTTGTTTTTTTTTTTAATTTGCAAGTTGAGTTACCATTGCCTTTATTTCCCCTTCTACTTTGCACTAGTTTCCTTATGTCCATCTGTCCTCTACTTTTTCAATAGAACTAATTATGTCTTTAAAAATAGTTAATCTTATGAAACAAACTGAGGGTTGCTGGAGGGGAAGGGGGTTAGGGGATGAGATAACTGGGTGATGGACATTGGGGTGTGTTTGAATTGTGGTAACCTGTACCCTGAAACAAATAATACATTATATGTTAATTTAAAAAATAGTTAGATAAGCGAATGACTAAAGTTCTCTTTCTGTTTTCCCTGATGGTGGGTCAAATGGCTCCTCACGTTGTTCTGATAGATTTAGTATTGAGTTACTCTTAGCAGTGTACAGGTTGTTTAGACTATCATGCCTTTGTCCTTCTGAAACAACAGAGCTAATGTCACCTCCATCTCAGTGGTTCTAATTTTAAAAGTACTTCATATTTTTTGAAAGGGGGTTTTATTAGGATGGTATATGCATTTTTAAAAATAGTTTGCTGTGTCTATTAACCAAACTTTTATTATTAGTAAATGAAGTATTTAATGAACACTAGTTAAAAGTTTAAAAATCTGAATGTAATATTAGAATGTATCATCTCAGAATTTGATGGTCTACTTTTTCATCTTCATTTTTGAACAAGTACTTCTGTGACCTCTTCTTTCTATTTTGCCAGGTGGTTAGATGAACGTCATGCACAATCTCACTTTATTCCAGCTTTATTCCGACCTTCTCCTCTTGAGCGGATAAAAACTAATGTCATAAACCCTGCATATGCTACTGAATTAGGTCAGACAGAAAACTCACTACATATGGGCTACAGTGCACTAGAAATAAAGAGTAAAATGTTAGCCCTAGAGAAAGCAGATACTTGTATTTACAACCCTTTGTTTGGATCAGACCTTCAATATACAAACCGGGTAAGAGCTGAATGAATTTTGCTCTGATTTCAAAAGACATTTTATCTGAGCTATAATTTTTTCCTAAAGTAAATATACCTATTACTAATTGTAAATGTTAAGATGACATCTAGTTAGTTGTATTTATTTAGTTGTATTTAGTTGTATTTATATCTATTGAAGTCAAGTATCTAAAGCTCTTAAGGAGTTTTTGTTTTTGTTTTTTCTATTTTCCCTTTTTAGGTAGATAAAGTGGTAATAAATCCCTACTTTGGTCTAGGAGCTCCAGACTACTCAAAAATCCAAATTCCCAAACAGGAAAAATGGCAGAGAAGCATGAGCAGTGTCACAGAAGACAAGTACTGTTTTGGTTTTACTCCATATTGCTTTTTTAAAACTTATAATGTTAAAATATTGTTTAAAATGATATATGTAACTAGTATGCAATGTAACCATTGCATAAAAGATTTAGTTTGCAGCTACTATGTGATATATGGTTCTCATCGATATGTCTTGTTTATTTTGAAACAATTTGAATTTCAACAGTGCTTTTTTTTAAAAAAATTTATCTATTTTTAATGATTAGGGAACGACAGTGGGTAGATGACTTTCCTCTCCATCGAAGTGCCTGTGAAGGGGATTCAGAATTACTAAACCGTCTTCTCAATGAAAGATTTTCTGTCAATCAATTAGATAGTGACCACTGGGCGCCCATTCATTATGCATGCTGGTAAATGGATTACTTTTTTCTCTTAGAAGGAATGAATCCTTAGTTGTAAATGTTAATGCTTCTTTTCAGAACTGTCATCATTCCAGCCACTTTTTCTCTACCACATTTTGCCTTACAGGCTTTCTATTTAGATCTTTGATTACTGTTTATATGTACCACTATTCAGAATTACAAGGTCTGCCCCATGGGAAAAGTATCATTGGTGTTTGAGGCATTACCAAATCATCCTGTATAATAGCTAATGACTAGCAAGTGTCATTATACAGCACTAGGTCCCTTATTCACATTTTGTATTGGAGTTACATTAAGTTTATTTACCCTTACTATAAAATTTACATGAGGTTAACTACTTATGATTTGCCATTGATCATGTTGGAAAAGTATCCATTTAGTTCTTTGGGAACCTGTGGGATCACGAAACTCCCAAAAGCCTTCATTAGAATGAATGCTATTCTTCATTATTATTATTTTTTTAAGATGAGAGGGATTAGCTCACAAGATTGGGGTTAGCTGTTTCTACTAGTTGCGTATTGTACCTCTTGCTTTCCTACTCCTCCCACATGATAGTAACTCTTCCCCTCAGCTGAGCTGAGTTCTTATATTTGTGTTCATAGCAGTAGTTAACTGTCAGCTCTGGTTTATCCTCCAGAAGGAATGTAATGAAGTTATTTACCATTATTTGTTATGCGAAAGTTGCTTTTGACTTATTGTTTAAAGTGATCTTCCTTTGCTAGTTTAAGCAGTGCCTACATTATTTACTGCTTCTTAAATGTCTGCTACTTCTTAGCTGAGCAACATTTAGCAAGATACTTCACTTCTCTATATCTCAGTTTATTTATCCATATGTAAAGCCATTAATTAGATCATTGCTAGAGTTCTTTCCAGCTCAAAATTCTTTTAATTTCACGGATTCCAAAATCTGTGATCCTATAGCTAAATATAGTTGCTTTTAATATCCATCTTTTCCCCCTTAAAAATATGTTGTTTCCCTAAAAATATACTCCTTTATTCAAGAAATATCTGCTCCTTTATTCTGTGTGTTCTTAATTGTTTTCCCATTACATGGAATTTTCTACTCATATTTGGAGTTACCCTAAATCTTTTTAAACTGAACTTTTAGCTGTTTCTTCAGATTACCAGTAAATATTGGCAGCAGCAGTACTGAAAGAAATCACATGCCTTATCTGGAATTGGTTAAAAAAAAAAAAAAAAAGTACACTGTGGAATCAGGAAGACGGAGGCAGAGAATTTTAGTTTAGGCATCCCAAATTTATATTTGGTTAATATTTCCCTTTTTTTGTGGCATTGGTTATTTTCTTTTCTAATAAAAGAATGGTAATATTTATATTTTAAGAATGGTAGCATTTTTAAGTATATATTACATAAAAACAGAAGTATGATAATTAACGTTCTTTGAAATATCCTTAGGTTTCTATCCTAATAACTCTCATTTCCTAAAATTATGACTTTTGGCAAGTTATTTAAAATCTCTAAGGACCTGTGTCTTCATCTATGAGGTGGACTTAATAATAGTACATTTCTTAAGATTAAAGGAGAAAATGCAAGTAAATGCTTTGAGGATACCTAGCACATAATAAGCACTCAGTAGATGTTGGCTATTATTATTAAAGTACTGTAGAAATTTAAAGATTTTTATGTTTAAATCTGAAACTCATAATCCATAGTATTTTTAATTAGAAAATCTTACTACTACAGTATACCAAGGAAAAGAGTTTTATCCTTTGATAAAATTAATTTTGTCAGTTGGAAATAATTAAGTTTAATGTACCAGGAGTAATATGGGTCACTTGCAATACTTTTAATCAAATGGATCATTTGGTTAATGTGAATTTGAATGAAGACTGATTTAACCAATTAATAAGAACTTAAATTACTTAATCTTGGAAATGTATTTTATTCACTAATTGGTATAAGGATCAAGGAGGGGAATATTAGGCCATCTCATTAAGAGACTGAGATTTGGAGACTATCTTTATAAGCTTAGAGAAGATGTTTTACCCTTCTTGGTCTGTTTTCTCATCTTTAAAGTGAGGGTTTTTATTAAATTGGTGGTTCTCCAACTTTTTGGTGTCAGGTCTGCCTTTTACTCTTAAAAGTTATAGGATCCCAAAGAGTTTTTTTATGTAAATTATATTAACATATTAGAAGTTATACCCCAAAAATAGTTTAAGTATTAATTCATTTAACACAATAATAACAATAACAATAAACATTAACATAAGTAACAATTTTATGAAAAATACCATATTTTCCAAAATTTAAAAAATTAAGAATAGTATTGTTTTACATTCTTGGCAATCTCTTTATTCTCTAGCTTAATAGAAGATAGCTGGATTCTCACATCTGATTCTGCCTTTAATTTGTTGCAATATTATATGGCAAATTGCTTCTAGAATACCCCACTGTACACTTAGGATCCAAAAAGAGTTTAAAGGATAAATAACATCTTAATATTATTAGGAAAATATGTTTGATCTACAGGTACCCTGAAAAGATTTCAGGGATTCTCAGGGCTTCCTAGATCACTCTTTGAGGACCACCCCTAAGATAGCTGCAAGCTTTTAAAATTCTCATATTGGTGGCCACATACCTGAAAACTCTTTACTAGGATCACCATTTTCCAAAACTATTTAAGTTGGCTTTCTCCCCATATGAGCAACTTATCAGCCACTCAGTAAATGTTTCACTGACATCACATATTCTTTGACCTTTCTCAAATCAGTGTCTTCTCTGATCTTTTTTTAGGCTTCATGTTTTTGCTAGAGAGTGTTTTAGGGCTATGATGATTTGACTCCCTTAAAATTATCCCATCTTCACTGTAGCTTAGCTGTCTATTCTCTTTGTCTCATTCATCCTGTCAGCCTTTTAGTTCTCTCATATAAGCTATTCTGAACCTTTCTACTCTTAAGCACTTAAACTCCCACTACTTCCTTTCTGTATTCTTATCAGATAGTTTTACCTCCTATTTTCAAAGAAAACTGATGCCATCGGAAATGTCCATCTTATCTGTTGTTTTTGTTCTCATCTCTCCTGTATCATGGGATATGCAAGTAAAAATCCTTGTTTACCATAAATTCACTCTCTCCTCTGCACTTTTTCTCTTGCCTTCAAACGTACATGGTTCTCTTCCTCTTGAAAAGAATATTAATTTGACTCTGCTGCCTCTTCTGGCCACTATCCTGTTTCTTTCCTTCCTTTCACAGCCAGACTTCAAAGGTGAGTGGGCCACACTCACTGTTGTCTCTTTTTCACTCTTCATTAAACTTCTTAAACTTTTCTGAGTTTTTAATCTCTTTCCCCGCTCTACAGCATTAATACTGTTGACCACCCCTTCATTCTAAGAACAAATTGGAGTTGAAGGGGCATAATGGAGCTGTAATGAAGGTCAGTACAAATGCAAGATATTACTGTTAAATTATCATTATTATTGAAATATTGGCTTCCATCCTGTGACTTAACGCATGTGTAATGGTATGGAAACTGCTATACTAAGATTGAAAAACCTGGATTCTAACACTGGTTAGTAACCATGGGACCTTCAACAAATTACTTACCTGGTTCAAGCTTCATTTTCCTTAACTGTGATATAAAAATACTTCTGCATGCCTTATAGGTTATTTTGAAGATTATATTAAGTAATTACATAAGAAAGAACCATGAAAACAAAATGTACATTTATATTTTATTACTTGAATTGCTTAGAAGTGTCTTTTCCTGTCCTGAAAGATTGTTTTTCAACATGGCATTTCATTGTTCTAAGATACTCATTTTTCATTTTTCAATTTATCCCAGCCTTTTTTTTTTTAAAGATTTTATTTATTTAATTGACAGAGAGATGGGGGGGTAGAGCATAAGCAGGGGGAATGGCAGGCAGAGGGAGAAGCAGGCTCCCTGCTTAGCAGGGATCCCAGTGCAGGACTCAATCCCAGCCAACAGGCAGATGCTTAACAGACTGAGCCACCCAGGTGCCCTAAAATCTCCCAGCCTTTACAGTAATTCTTTTCAGTTAGATTAATTTGCTTTTTCTCAGATAGATAATCCAAGCCTTTTGCCTTCCTCCTGAATACTAAGCCTGTATTTTCAAATGCCTACTGAGTAGTTTAGTCACTCTCTTTTTGTCTAGAAGGCAGTTTAGAGAATGCAGAGACGGTGTACCTACCCTCAAGGAATTCCCAGGCTATTAGAGAAGAGATGTATATAAATAAGGGTGAAAGTAGATAAGTCCTATAAAAAAAGCAAAAAAATGCTACATGTAGTGGAACTATAGAAGTATATTTTAAAACTGTTTCAGAGAAATAACAGGATTTAACCTAGACAAAATGAGGTAGGGAGACAAGGACATCTCAGGAATAGCAAAGAATGTGAACAAAATGTCAAATGAGTAGGAAAGGGTAGCATACAAGTAGCAGTTTCAGGGTATAAGAAGGGTATGTAGAAGGGAAGAAAGGAAAGTTGATGGCAAACCAGATCACTTCTAAAGATGTGTTGTTTTCATCTCAGATGTACCATATCTGAAAGCAAATTTCCTTTCCCTTTTCTCCCCTCTTACCCATTTATTTACAAACTGAATTACTTTTCCACCCTTGCTTCAGATTGCAGCCTTATATAAATCTTTGGCTTTGACAAAATGGTGGACTCAACTGTGTCAACAGGTGCTTTGCACTCTTCTGGGCCCTTGCTTTGCTTACTCCTCCCCCACCACACACACACCTAAAATATTTTTGCCTCTCTTCAACATCTCTTTGGTTCCTTCCTACTTAAAATACACTTCAAGTTGTTCTATCAAAATATTTCAGGGAGTCTTAGACTAAAGTCCTATCTTTTCTGATGTTTTTTAAAGCATTAGTTATATACTGTCTTGACTTGACAAATATATATCCCCTATTGTGTTGATTGTTATCCTAAGCTGTTACTTAAATTTTAAAGCATAATGTAACTTATCCCATGTTTTTATTTTACCTCTCTTATTACTTGATAAGCCTTTATTACAGCAGAGACCATGTATCTTATACATCTTTATGTCAACCACACTGCCCAACACAGCAGCTACATATCCCCTAGAATTCTATCTTTGGGCCTTTTGCAAATCACAGTCAGGCCTAAGTAAAAGCATTATGAAGTTTCTGATTCTGAACCTATTTTGACTAAACATTTTATTTCCTTAATTTATAATTTTTGTACTTTGCATGGGGTTGTTCTTTGTCATCTGCTCTATCTTGTGTTTGAGGTTATATTTCCTCGCACTTAATCAGGAACAGAAACAGTTGAGCTGAACCAGAAGAATTCATAAGAAATCCCTGGGCACTGAAAACATTTATGTCAGTGTCTTACTAAAATAAAAAAAATCTTAGATTTCTTTGAGATATCATCTAAAATTTGAATTTTTAAAGCATTTCATATGATTTTGGGGGGTAAGTTTCTTCTTTTTTTTATAGGTATGGAAAAGTTGAGGCCACTCGCATTTTGTTAGAAAAAGGAAAGTGCAATCCAAATCTTTTAAATGGACAGCTTAGTTCTCCTCTTCATTTTGCTGCTGGAGGAGGACATGCTGAAATAGTACAGATTCTTCTAAACCATCCAGAAGTTGACAGAGTAAGTTATTTTCCAGGATTTTTTTTTTAACGTTCAAGCAATGAATAACAAGTGATGACATTAAATGTTCAATTGTATTCTTGAGAAGTCAATTAAAAAATAAATTTTACCATCTGCATGGTATAAGTAATACTTATATGTAAACTTTGCTTTTATACTTGTTTATTGTGATAAAATGTACCTCACATAAAATTTACCATTTTAACCATTTTTAGATGTACAGTTCAGTTGCATTAAATACATTCACATTGTTGTACAGTCATCACCATCATCCATCTCCTGCATATACATAAAATTTAACCTCTTCTTGTGTTATGTTGTATTTCCTCAAAAAATATCTTTAAGAAGGAAAAAGATTTTCTATCCATTTTTCCAGAAGTTCTATTAGTAAGTATTTTTAAATGGGAAAATAATCAATTTAAACAAAACCTTTGTTGGATCTTATAATCAAAGCTTTTAAAAACAATAATCACATTGATTAGTGCTTTCAGTCTTTCATCTTTATCAGTTCATGTTTAAGTGTAGTATATGCTAAGTATGGTTAGTATTTAACACTCGACAAAAGTCTATTTTTTATGAAATTTTGATTGATTGAATGACATTTTCACTTATAATGCCATACATTTGTAATGCTTTTTTTCTTCACATTTTTCTTTTTTCTAAAATTTCTAGCACATAACAGACCAACAAGGAAGATCCCCTTTAAATATCTGTGAAGAAAACAAACAAAATAACTGGGAAGAAGCTGCAAAGCTATTGAAGGAAGCCATTAACAAACCAGTAAGAATTACCTTCAGAAATAGAGCTAAGCCAACTATTTAAATTGATAAGTAATTTGAGTATTTGTGGCAAGAGGAATGGATGGATCATTTCTTACGAGCTTTTAGAAAACCTCATGGGTAGGGGCACCTGCGTGGCTCAGTGGGTTAAAGCCTCTGCCTTCGGCTCGGGTCATGATCTCAGGGTCCTGGGATCGAGCCCCACATTGGGTTCTCTGCTCAGTGGGGATCCTGCTTCCTCCTCTCTCTCTCTCTCTGCCTGCCTCTCTGCTTACTTGTGATCTCTCTCTCTCTGTCAAATAAATAAATAAATAAAATCTTTAAAGAAAAAAAAAAAAGAAAGAAAACCTCATGGGTAGATGTCTTAAGTATTAAATTTGTTATCATCCCTAATATTCAGACATTTATTCTTACATACCAAAATAAAAATTGTATAAGTAAATAAATCTTTAAAACACTTAATATTAACCTAATTTCTAGTATAATCTTAATACCTGATGATGTCTGGAATAATAAGCAGTAACATTAAGATAGAGTATAGTTAACAATTAGAAAAAACTCAGTTCACCTAAAAGTTATAGTAACAATAAAACTGTCACCAATTTAAAAACTGTGTGAAAACTTGTAAACCAGATAAAAGGATTTATAATAGATAAAGTATTAAAGCTTGATGTCAACAGATGTAATCTCTGAGCCTTTCCAGACATTTCTATCAATTAGGCAGAAAGTATTTATGGGGTATTTCTGTAATTTAATACCTTGAAATACTGGAAGTAACAAGTGATAGAGAATAAATATATGATCTCTGCCTTTAAGGAATATTAACATACACACTCACCACACACTCAACAGATTTTGTCAAAATACTATTCCATGAGCATAAGACAAAGTCAAGAAAATAAGTGGTACAGGCACTGTTATACTTGATTACAATTTATTTTCTAATTGTATAGAACACATTATTATTCCTGGCATAATTTTTATATTCTAAATTAATAAGATAAGAAGAATTAGTACATTCATCCAAAATGAACTGACCTGCAAGTTGTTTGGGCAATAAAATGTATTGAGAATACATCGAAAAACCACAGTGAGATATTACCTCACACCAGACAGAATGGCTAGTTTCAGAAAGGTAAGAAATAACAAGTACTAGAGAAAGTAGAACCCTTGCGCACTATTTGTGGGAATGTAAATTGGTGCAACCACTGTGGAAAACAGTACAGAGCTTCCCCCTAGAATTAAAAATAGAAATACCATATGATCTGGTAATTTCACTGCTGGGTATTTACACAAAGAAAATGAAAACACTAATTTAAAAAGATACTTGCAGTTGCTTCTCAGCCTTTTGGCTAAGATCAAGTGTGAAAAGATACATGCATTTCTATGTTTATTGCAATATTATTTACAGTAGCCAAGATATGGAAGCAACCTAAGTGTTCATCCATAGATGAATGGATAAAGATTAGGTGGTATATATAGACGATGGAATATTACTCAGCCCCCAAAAAGAATGATATCTTGTCATTTGGAATGACATGGATGGAGCAAGAGGGTATTTATTATGCTAAGTGAAATAAGACAGGCAAATGCCATATGATTTCACTTGTATGTGGAATCTAAAAAACCAAACACAAGAAAACACTTCTAAATATAGAAAACAAAGTGCTGATTGTTAAAGAGGAGGTGGGTGAGAGATGGGCTAAATCGGTGACAGGGATTTTTAAAAAATGTATTGAGAAGATTATTCTTTGAGATGTTCTGAACAGGAGGAAATAAACTGGCTCAAGGTCCATTGTTCATAACTTTCATGTGCACAGTCTTCCATTACAGATTCCTCTTAGGAAAAATTATTGCTAGTACACATTTCTACAGTATAATTTGTGGCCCACTAGACTCATGAGATACCTAACAGACTCAGTAACTAAGTCTCTATATCTCCTATGTGATACCTACTTAGTACAGTTACAGCTTTAAAACATTTACCAGAAGAATCTGAAGTTGAATATTTTTTAAGAACCATTTGCCTTAGCTTCTCAAATTTATTTCACCTGAAATATCCAGAGGAAAACATACTGGAAAATATAATGGAAATAAAAATCTTTTTAAAGTGTGCCAGCAGATATCTGAAGCAGTTTTCTGTAATTTTCCATGTTTGGAAACTATAATAAAACATATGAAGTTGAAATTGAAGCATTTTTGTTAGGCTGGGATATGTAACTTCTAACCAGGTTGCCTAATTTATTACTGTTCTTTGTCCTAGTATGAAAAAGTTCGAATATACAGAATGGATGGATCATACCGTTCTGTTGAACTGAAGCATGGAAATAATACCACAGTGCAGCAGATTATGGAAGGAATGCGTCTCTCCCAAGAAACACAGCAGTATTTCACTATTTGGATCTGTTCAGAAAACCTCAGTAAGAAAGTTGTTACTCTGTAAACCTATTCCTTTGTGAGAGTGGATTGGTAAACTTAGGTATAGCATCAATTTCTTAATGACTTTAAATTTTGAAATTATACAGTGATCTTCTCTTTTATATAAATTACTAGTGTTCCAGCTGTGAAACAGGTAAGCCTCTGGGACTCCTCATCCACTGCTTCATTCAAAGCAATTTTTAAGTATTTGAAAACTTTACTTCTCTGGCAATGGAATTTTACTTGAATGCCATTAAATGTAGTGCTTATCCAACTCGCCTTTATTGTCAGTGCTCATTTCACCTAAAATAATGCAAACGTTCTTTTTCTTTATATTAGTTTTCTATCACATCTTTTTATTTAAGACCAACCTGATGCCACTATAGATTTACCTTTCAAGCAAAGTATTGCAAATACATAAAGGAGCTAATTGAAGTTATTGTGATTGGTTATTTAATGTTTAATTGTATTTTTTAAAAAACACTTAGATTTAAAAAACATCTACTGATTGGATCATAATTAAATAAGCTATAGTGGAATTAAAGATCTTATATACAGTTGATATGTTTTATTTGTTTTAGTAATTCTCATAATTCTTATACTCTTAAAAACACAAGCTTTTAACCTAAAAATGGGTTGTGAGATAATTGGTTATAAAGTCAGTGACTTAAATTTAGACCTTTAATTTGTGTGTATTCACCACTTAAGTATAGATAGTTTAATACAAATTTTCTATGTGTTGATATAATTTATCTTTACATTATTATTTATAAAAGGAAAGATGTTTTTCAGGCCTTCAACTCAAGCCTTATCATAAACCCTTGCAACATGTTCGTGATTGGCCAGAAATACTTTCTGAATTGACTAATTTGGATCCCCAAAGAGAAACACCACAGCTTTTCCTAAGAAGAGATGTGAGACTTCCTTTGGAAGTTGAAAAAAAGGTTTGCTTGGAAATCTTATTTATAGTCATTTAAATGCACAGAATCTATTGAATTCCTGTGGTAGGCACTAGAAACAGACTGTTCCTGTATGAGGAGGTTTTACTTTTGTTTTTCTGTTTAATCTTCATATCCCTGGGGTAAGTCTGAGTTAGTCTACTTACGAAGCCCCTGGTTGGTTTTTTTATTTCCACCTCCATTGTCTTAGAAACAAAAGAAATAAAGAATCTATTCTAAAGAGAATTAGCAACCAGATGGAAGACAGATTATACCAAAAAGAACTTTAGCCCAGTTAGGAAGTACAGTATCACAGATCAATTTAATAAAGAGCCAATCAGTGTGTAAATTTCAAAGGAGCAAAGAGATAAGTTGGTGTGAGAGGAAAACAAAATACATTCTGAGTGCAGATAATATTTGCAAAGGGGACATAAAAAGCTGTTCTCAATAGTTAGTAAGTAGCTGTTTCCAAATCAAGCAGAGAATTATATAGATAGTAAAAATGAGAATATAATTTATATTTGATAAAAAGAATTGTTCCACACAAGTACATTTGGATTTGAATTACTGTAAATTTTAGAGGGAGTGTAGAGTAATGGTATCTGAAGGATGAGTGAACAACACAGAAACTTAAAGTGGATATTACAAGTTAAACTAGTGTGATGGTCTATAAAGTTTTTTAAATTGAAAAAAAAAAAAGTTCCAAGGTCTTATAACTTTGGTGAATAAAAAATATACAATGCATTTCCTGATTCTTATCCAAGGAAATATTAAACAGACAAAGTTAAGGAAGTTTTAGTATATGGAAAATTGATCGATCATGTACAAACTTGGTAAATATTTTATACCTGATTACTCGTATTGTCCCTCTTATATTATCAAACTAAAGACAAGTATGATCCTTTCAGTGACATATACTGGAAGTTACTTTGTATGAAATTAACCAAAAACAAAGATCTAGATTACTCATAGAAAAATGTGTTAGAATTTCACAAATAGAACAATCAGTCAGTTAAGCAGCTGCCTTCAGCTCAGGTCATGAGCTCAGGGTCCTGGGATCAAGCCCCCATCAGGCTCCCTGCTCAGTAGGCAGTCTGCCTCTCCCTCTGCCCCTACCCCTCAACTTGTGCTCATGTTATCTCTCAAATAAATAAATGAATAAAATCTTAAAAAAAAAAAAAAAAAGAACAGAGGAAAAAACACAGTTAATCATCTCAGTCAACACAGAAAATATACTTAACAAAATCTAATACCCTTTCATGATAAAACTCTTACAATTAGGAATAGATGGGAACTTCCTCAACATGATAACTGGCATTTATGAAAAATTCACAGCTAACATCATACTGGATGAAATGTTAGAGCTTTCCTTCTAAGATCAGGAACAAGACAAGAAGGCCAGCTTTCAGCACTGTTATTTAACATAGTACTAGAAGTTCTAACCAGAGCAATTAGATTAAAAAAAGAAGAAGAAGAAAAAAAGAAAAAATGGGGTGCCTGAGTGGTTCAGTTGGTTAAGTGTCCAACTCTTGATCTCAGGGTCATGAGAGATTGAGCCCTGCCTCAGACAGCACTGCTTAGTGTGGAGCCTGCTTAAGATCCTCTCCCTCCCTCCCTGTCCCTATCTTACCTGCTTGCATGTGCACTCTTTCTTAAAAAAAAAAAAAAAAAAAAAAAGAGGGCCACTAGGGTGGCTTAGTTGGTTAAGCATCTGGCCTCAGCTCAGATCATGATCCCGTGGGCCTGGGATTGAGCCGTGAATTGGGCTCCCTGCTCAGCAGAGAGTCTGCTCCCTTTCTCTCTCCCTCTGCCTGTCTCCCTGCTTGTGCTTGTGTGCACTCTCTCTCTCTTTTTCAAATAAATAAATAAAATCTTTAAAAATAATAATAAAAAAAGGAAGAAAAATAAAAATAAAAGGCATCCACATTGAAAAGGAAAAGGCTAAACTATTTGCAAATGATATGATCCTACATATAGGAAATCACGAAGAATCCACAAGAAACCCATTAAAGCTAATAAGTAGATTGAGCAACATTGCAAGGAATAAACTTAACACAAAAAAATCATTTGTTTGTTTCTATACACATCAGTGAATAACCCCAAAAGGAAATTAAGAAATTCATCAAAATAGCTTCTTAAAGAATAAAATGTCTAGGAATGAATTTAATAAAAGAGGTACAAGGCTTATACACTCAAAACTACAAAACATTCCTGAAAGAAATTAAAGAAGATCTAACTTAACTGGAAAGATATCTGTTTTAAGGATAGGAAGATTTAATATCATTAAGATGTCTGTACCAGCAAAACAATCTACTGATTTACCACATTTCCTAAAAAAATTCCAACAGCCTTTTTGCAGAAATTCATATGGAATTACAAAGGGCCTTGGATAGCCAAAACAGTCTTTAAAAAAAAGGATAAAGTTGAGGGATTCACACCTCCAATTTCAAAGCTTACTATAAAGCCATAGTAGTTAAAACAGTGTGGTTTTGCCTTAAGGACAGTTATATAGACTAATGGAATAGATGTAAGAGTCCAGAAATAAACCCAATACATTTATAACCAAAATCCGTAGTCAGCTGATTAATTTTTTTAAAGATTTATTTATTTGAGTGCGAGGGAGCGCACATGTGAGCTGAGTAAGAGGGAGAGAGAGAGAGAACTCTCAAGCACATTCCCCGCTGAGCAAGGAACCCAGCACAGGGGTCCATCCCAGGACCCCGAGATCACGACCTATGCCGAAATCAAGAGCCAACTGCTCAACTGACTGAGCCACCAGGTGCCCCGGAAAAGGCTATTTCAGCTGTCTTCTGACAAGGGTGCCAAGTCCATCCAATGAAGAAAGAATAGTCTTTTCAATAGATGGTGAAAAGTATGAAATTGGACCCCGACCTCCCACTATATATAAAAATTAACTCAGTAGATCAACAACTTAAGCATAAGAGCCAAAACCTTAAACCTCTTAGAAGAGAACAAATAGACATATCTTCATGACATTAGATTTGGCAGTGGATTTTTAAATATAATACCAAAAGCATGAACAACAAAAGAAGTATAGATAAAGTGGACTTCTTGAAAATTAAAAAAAAATTGTATATCAAAGGACATTATCAAGAAAGTTAAAAACAATTTACAGAATGGAAGAAAATATATATTTTTTTAAAGATTGATTTATTAGAGAGTCAGCAAGCAGGGAGAGGGGCAGAAGGAGAGGGAAAGAGAGTCCCATGAGACTCTGGGCTGAGCAGGTAGTCCATCTCAGCTGGTTGAGTTGACTTGAGATCTTGACCTGAGTCAGATGCCTAATTGACTGAGCCACCCAGATGCCCCAGAATGGGAGAAAATATTTGCAAATCATTTATCTGACAGGGGTTTACCATCCAGAATACATGAAGAAATACAATTCAAAAACAAAAGACAACCCAATTAAAATAGGCAAAAGACTTTAATTTCTCTAGGGAAGATACACATATAGTCAACAAACACGTGAAAAGATGCTCAGCATCAGTGGTCATTTGGGAAATACACATCAAAAACACAATGAGAAACTTCCCACTCGTAGGGTAGCTATAGTAGTAAAGATTTTAAAAAAGGAAAATAATGAGTGTTGGTGAGAATACAGAGAAATTGTAATCCTTGTACATTGCAGGTAGGACTGTAAAATGATATGGCTGCTATAAACAGTAGTGGTTCTTGAAAAAACTAAACCTAATTATCATATGATCTCATAGTTGCACTCTTAATATATACCTGAAGAATTGAAAATAGCAACTCACATAGGTATCTATACACTAGTGTCTATCTAGTGTCTATCTAGTATCTATATACTAGAGCAATATTATCATAATAACCAAAATGATGGAAACAAACAAGTTTCCATCAGCAGATGAATGGATAAACAAAATGTGATATATATATGAAATGGAATATTATTCAGCCATAAAAAAGAATGAACTTCTGATAAGTGTCTTAACATGGATAAACCTTGGAAACATACTAAGGAAATAAGCCACATGCCATAAGCCACACGCAGGACAAATATTGTATGATTCTACTTACATTAAATATCTAGAATAGGAAAATTCATAAAGAGAAAGTAGATTAGTGGTTATCACAGGTGTTGGGAGAGAGAATGAGGAATTATTGCTTAGGTTAATAGTTTCTGTTGGGTGATGAAAAAGTTGTATAAATAGTGGTGATGCTTGCACAACACTGTAATTAATGTCACTGAATTATACCCTTAAAATTGGTTAAAATATTAAATTTCTGTTTTACGTTTTTAGTGCAGTTTCAAAGAATGTATTAGTTACATAAAATCTGCAAGTAATCTTAGTATACTCAGTCTATCTTCTTTCTCCACCTCAGTGACATTTTTTTTTTAAAGATTTTATTTATTTGACAGAGAGTAAGAGACATAAGCAGGTAGAGCGGCAGAGGGAGAGGGAGATGCAGGTTCCCCACTGAGCAGAGAGCCTGACTCGGGGCTCGATCCCAGGACTCTGGGATCATGACCTGAGTCGAAGGCCGTCGATTAACCAACTGAGCCACCCAGACGCCCCACCTCTGACATTTTAAAAGTTGATTGGGGGTACCTGAGTGGCTCATTTGGTTAAGTGACTGCCTTTGGCTCAGGTCATGATCCTGGAGTCCTGGGATCGAGTCCTGCATCAGGCTCCCAGCTCCACAGGGAGTCTGCTTCTCCCTCTGACCTTCTCCCCTCTCATGCTCTCTCTCACTCTCTCTATCTCTCTCAAATAAATAAATAAAATCTAAAAAAAAAAAAAAAAGAAAAGTTGATTGGTAGAGAAAAAGCAATAATGGTAAAACTTGGATGATAAATGAATTGCATAATTACAAAGAATATAAAGTGAATTCAAGTAAAAAAGAAGCAAGGCTTAGTAAGTACCTCAGGGCAAATCAGAAAATCATGATCATCTGATAAAACAGTTGTTTTCTTTCATTATGTAATTAAATTCCATTTCGTACCATCTGAAAAATGGAAAAATTACATTTATTTGTTGCATCCTTTCTGTAGGATGAAAATGGCCTGATTTCATTAGAAAAGAATAATTGTTGACTAATGCTCACTGAATATGCTCACTGAATATGCTATTAAGAATTATAACTATTGGGACGCCTGGGTGGCTCAGTTGGTTAAGCAGCTGCCTTCGGCTCAGGTCATGATCCCAGCGTCCTGGGATTGAGTCCCACATCGGGCTCCTTGCTTGGCGGGGAACCTGCTTCTCCCTCTGCCTCTGCCTGACATTCTGTCTGCCTGTGCTCGCTCACTCTCCCTCTCTCTCTGACAAATAAATAAATAAAATCTTTAAAAAAAAAAAAAAAGAATTATAACTATTACCTACTCAAACTCTTCAAATTTCACTGTTAATTTTGAGAAATTAAAAACCCACAAAAAGTTGAAAAAGTAATAAAATTCATTAAATTCACTAACTGCTAATATTTTGCTTTATTTATTACCTTCACTTCTCTGTTTTTTCTTTATGGACCATTCAGAAGTGAGTTCCAGACATCATGGCACTTAATCCCTACATATTTTAACATATCTCCTAAGAAAAAGGACATACCAACATACTATAATATACCATTTCACCTAATAAAATTTTTATTTCCATAATAATGTCTAATACATGATCCATATTCAGATTTTCCCCAATTGTTTAAGAGTCTTATGTAGCCCCCATATGTAGGATCTAGTCAAGGTTCATACTTTGTATTTGATTATTATCTCTTTAGTCTCTCTTAATCTAGAAAAATCCTCTCATCTTTTTTCCCCATGAAAACCTCTGTTGTTTTTTTCACATTATAGAGAGTATTGTAAGATTATTTTAGTTAGACAAAAATAACTTTTACCATAAGGAATTGAATGACTTTGAATTATATTTGGAAATAATTTTTTAAGATTTTATTTGAGAGAGCAAGCAAGAGAGAGAGCATAAGCTGGGTGGAGGGGCGGGAGAGACAGAGAAGCAGACTCCCTGCTGAGCAGGGAGCCCAACTTGGGGCTCCATCCCAGGGCCCCAGGATCATGACCTGAGCTGAAGGCAAACGCTTACTTGACTGAGCCACCCAGATTCCCTGGAAATACTTTAAGTATTCATTCAGAAACTCTGTATAACTGTTTCCAACTGGAGCAGGAGTAGGCTAGCTAGTCAGGCTTTGTTAATCTTATTGGATAAAATGAAACTTTACAAAGATTTGAAACTTAGGGGAAAAAAATCTTCTGTTCTTGAGTGTTATTTCAAAGTGCCAAGTGTTTTTAGCCAAAGAAAATTCTTAAAAAAATTTTTTAAAACAAGGTTTTTAAAAACTACATTACCCCTCTAGGAATTGACACACTTCCTTTTACTTTCCTTGAGGTTCACTACTATATTGTGTGAAAAATGTAGAATAATGTTTGAGGAATATAAATAATTTAGGTAAAATTGTGCTAGAAGTTATTGATATCTATAAACTAATGATAATCTTTTATTAGACTGTAAATCAGAAATAAACTATAGCACCTATTGCTATATTTGACCTGTTGTTTATTTTTATATACCCACAAGTTGTTCATGGTTGAAAAAAAATCAAAAGGATAATATCCCATGTCATGGGAAAATTTTATGAAATTCAAATTTGAGAATCCATATATAAAGTATTATGAGAACACCACCACACCCATTTGTTACTAGATTGCCTGTGGTTGCTCTTGTGCTACACTAGCTGAGTTGGGTAGTTGTAAGAAAGACTTTGTGACTCATAAAGCTTAAAATATTATCATCTGGCCCTGAACAGGAAAAATTTGTCAGCCTCTGCTCTAAATCAGTAACAGCTCATTTATATATGGATATGTATCTTTTGCTTTTCCAAATTAGAAAGTGACAAGTTGTATATTTGTAACAGGAAATTGTAGCCCAATAACCAAGTTATACCTTTTCTTTTAAGATTGAAGACCCACTAGCTATTCTTATTCTCTTTGATGAAGCCAGATATAATTTATTGAAGGGCTTTTATACAGCTCCTGATGCTAAACTGATAACACTGGCAAGTCTACTGTTGCAAATAGTTTATGGAAATTATGAGAGTAAGAAACACAAGCAAGGTTTCCTAAAGTAAGTATTTAAAACGTGGTTTTGTGCTGTGCTTAAGATTCTGTTTAACCAAGAATGTTTAAAAATGCTATTAAGAAATATTTATTTTTAAAAAAATATATATTTATTCTTTGGTTTGGAACTAAAGGATACAAGGCATGGAATAAGGAAAAAAACAAAACCAAAGAAAAGAATGGTAAAACATTCTTAAATTATACTCTCTCCAAAGTTACTTTTCTTGTATTTGACTATGGTTTGATATAGCTTTTTTCTTTTTTAAAGATTTTATTTTGGGGGTACCTGGGTGGCTCAGTGGGTTAAAGCCTCTGCCTCCAGCTCAGGTCATGATCCCAGGGTCCTGGGATCAACCCCACATTGGGCTCGCTGCTCAGTGGGAAGGCTGCTTCCCCCACTCTCTGTCTCTGCCTGCCTCTCTGTCTGCCTCTCTGTGTACTTGTGATCTCTGTCTGTCAAATAAATAAGTAAAATCTTTTAAAAAAAAAAAAAAAGAAAGAAAAAAATTGAAAACCACAATTAAGCTTCAGTGTTTAAAACCTCAGTGTTTTCTCTCAAAGATTAAACATGTGATTTCATGTCTCTCTGTCTTCGGTGTTAATTTTCGGCTCTCCAATACCAGTTACAGTTGAATGGTTTGGTTTTTTTTTAATATTTTATTTCTTTATTTGACAGAGAGAGATCACAAGTAGGCAGAGAGGCAGGCAGGGGTTGGGGGGAAGCAGGCTACCCACTGAGCAGAGAGCCCGATGCAGGGCTTGATCCTAGGACCCTGAGATCATGACTTGAGCCAAAGACAGAGGCTTAACCCACTGAGACACCCAGGCACCCCTGTGGTTTTCAATTTTCAAAAATACTTTGTGGTTGTTGAAAGAAGAAACATTTCTCTTAAATGAGAATGTTGGGATTGTGGCCTTTTGCATAAAATTTTGAGAGTTCTCTAATATTTTACAATACAGATTCTTCAGCTCAAAAATCATGTTACTTAAAGCAGTTTGTTTTTAAATGATTTATGTACTTTAGCTACTAAGGATGATTTATTTAAAACATGTCATATTTGCTTACAGTGAAGAAAATTTAAAATCCATTGTACCTGTTACCAAACTAAAAAGTAAGGCACCTCACTGGACAAACCGAATACTTCATGAATACAAGGTAAGCCTTTAATAGAAATAAGGGTACTTTATATCCTAGTTGAAAATTTGTAAATTAAATTGTTTGAAATTGTTTAATATGTTTTAAACATAATTACATTAAATTTACTGTCCTGAAATTAAAAATGGATCTTCTAGTTCACATGAAACTGATAGCATGATATTTTTATTTTTAATAATGTGGAATCTTTTACGGAATGCCTTCTGTATGTTGGCTTCTGTGGTAAGGACTAGAGATTAAACACATGCACATACACACACCCATGAAATTATACACTATCCCTTTCGAAGGGGCACTTAAAACCTAATAGAATAGACAAACAATATTTTTAGATTTTGATATTTCTTTCCTTTTTTAAAGATTAACATCTCAAAAAAAATTGCTCTTGGGCTAGTGTCACACAATTGTATTTTTCTCTGGGGGTGGCCATGATTTTAGAAACTGCTTAGTTGACCTCTTTCGATTATCAAAGGTATATTCTCTGTTCACATCTCTATTACTTTACTTTGTTTTTAGAATCTTAGTACAAGTGAGGGTGTCAGTAAAGAAATGCATCACCTTCAGCGCATGTTCTTACAGAATTGTTGGGAAATTCCTACATATGGAGCAGCTTTTTTCACAGGACAGATATTTACAAAGGCAAGCCCCAGCAATCATAAAGTCATCCCTGTGTATGTAGGAGTGAATATAAAAGGACTTCATCTCCTCAACATGGAAACTAAGGTAGATTTACAGCTGTTTTTAACTAGTTACATTTTATAATGTCAAAAAAATGGTACCAGTCTGTATGAAAAATCTAGAAATGACTATATAAGACTATTCATTGCAATTTCATTTGTAATAGCAAAGGATGAGGGTTGAAAAGTAAATAATTGTCAGTAAGGTGTTAATTATATTATTAACATTAATTATATAGTTATATGAATTATAGTTCATTTCTATGTTGAAATACTGTGCACCCATATAAAAGAATGAAGAATGTATAGAATGATTTCCAAGATATATTTAGTGAAAAAGCACAGTGGTGAACCATATGTAATGGGCTACTATTTGTGTAAAAATGGGGGAAGTGAAGACTATATTTACATAAATACATATTGCTTGTGTATGATTAGAAAGTCATAAAGCCTTTAGAGAAGGCAGTGAGGTAACTGAGAACAAGAGTAGGAGGGAGACTTTTTACTATGTACCGTTTTGCAACTTAAAAATTTTAACTGTAATTATATTACCTATTTAAAAAATTCAGTTAAGTTTAAGTGAAAACAATACAGATTAAAAAAAGAAAAATAGACTATCTGATACAAGGGACTCACTTGGAAAATTAGAATTAGTTGTAAGAGCCTGGGAAACAGGCAAGATGAAGCGTGGAAGGGACTATTATTAGATCACTTCAGAGCTTTTCCATAAGAGGCTTATTATTGTATTATACTCCTTTTTTAATCAGAGTCATTATAATATGAAATTTGGGATTATTTTTAGCATATTTAATGCATTTATCAGGATGAACAGCTTTCTAGTTTATAATAGGAGGCTAAGAAAAATCATTAATTTTGTTCATTCAGATTTGTCTATAAATAGATCAGTTGAGGTAATAAACAGCTTGTCAAAAAAGACATTTTGAATTAGGAAATTTTATCATAAACCTAATTTTTACTTTCATAATCTTTTATTATGTAATCACATAACTTCTGAAAGTAGTTTAGTCATTTTCTGATAACTCCAGATCATCCTTATGGACAGTTGCCATTTTATCACGCTGTTAGATATGCCTGTGAATGGAGATAGAGAATATATAGGGACATAGTGTTGAATAAGGACTGACTTCAGATGTTTATCTGGAACTGGATTTTTTTGAAGTCTCTGATGTCAGCTTGATTTTGGGTCATTTGCTCATTATCATTTTCTATTTAAGCTACTTTTTCAGACAAAATAGGCTGCTTCATATTAGTTTGCAACCATTTTTCTATTTCTTTTGTACTAAATTTGTTAAAGGAAATTAAAGGAGAAATTTCCCTTACCATTTCAAGAAGTTTTTCCTCTGCTATTTCAGAGCATTTTATACAAATCCTTTATTGTACTAAATGGTGATGCTCTGAGTATGACACCAAGACTCTTCTGTAAGCTATAGTGTATGTTTGATATTTGGTAGCATTTCAAATTTAGGCAACAATAAAACATTTTATTTAGTCCCCATATGATGGATCAGCATTATAACATTTCACGTTATGAATAATATTCTGGTCCAGGAATGAGTGAGATTGCAGTAGCAGGCAGAGGATGATAATATTAATAGTTAACAGTCTGCTTTTTTGGAAAGGATAAGATGTTTGATTTCTAGGAATTAAATAAAAATACTGTCCTTGAGTATAAGAAGGTGATTAAACCAAAGGGTAACAATGTTTTCTGCCATCTAACTATTACCTTGTGCTCCTTAAACCACTGATAAATTTATAGCACTGATGAAAGCTCTAAGTTATTATATTTTCTAATCATCAAAGGTGAGAACAGTCAGCTTGTCTGCGGTTGTCTTACAGTCATCAAGATATGCTGGGGTGAATTTGACAAGCTTACTTTAAGAGACTAAACATCTTCACTTGCAAAAATACCCTTATTTACATTTAAAACTCTACTTGGGATATGATAGCTTCAGAGATTAAATCTCATGAAAAGCTATAGATAGAATACAGCTCTGTTTTTTATATCAATTACTTCTATCTTCTGTATCTTGTTTCTCTTTGAAATAATGAGAGTTTCCCATTAGAAAGTATAGGCTAGCCAATTTCATATGCTTAGCAAAGATTTTTCTGTCCTACTTACATGAAATGTAGACACTATTGAATGTATAATAGACTGTGTTGTAGGTCAGTGTTTTACTATAATGAATGCATTGCTATTTCATCACTGAACTATACTTGTTAATGTATCTTTAACCATAATAGTGCTACTGCCATACCCGCAGTAGATTACCCTTTGCTGATATCAATTTATGTTGGCCATAATGCCCTTCTCAAATACAACTGGTTATTTAAATATCCACATAATGCCATCTTCACGATCACTTGTCAATATCACTTTTTCTCCTGTCTGCTGGCTGGCTATGTATTACTTCTGACTTCTGTGGTTCACCCCCACCCCTTTTTTGGAAAAAAAAAGAGAGAGAGGGAGAGATTGATTTTATTTTTAAGTAATCTCTACACCCAACATGGGGCTCAAACTCACAATCTGGAGATCAGGAGTTGGCACACCTGTGGTTTTCCCTTTTCTGCTCTCAACTGTTCTTACCATTTCTCTTGTGGTTTTTTATTTCCCTCACTAAACAAGTTTTAGTTTTTACCTTCTTTAAGTAGGTTTTACCTTCTTTAAGAGAACGCTTTTTACCTTCTGGAGTAGACTGATCTCCCCAAATTACCATATGGACTAGGACGTTCCAGCTCCATTGAGCTGTTTTCATTATTACCGGTCTCTCAGAAATTCCTTCCATCATGCATTCTGTTCTTTACTAACAAAACCTTTATTTCAAATTTAGAACCTCAGAACTTTGTTAGTAATTTGGCCTCCATATAATTGAGGACTTGTACCACAGGTTTGTTTGTTTGTTTTCTGTATATTAAATTGTTTTGAGGCCATACTACTGGAACATTTTCTACATCTTGATTGAACAAATTTCAAGCAACTGATCCAAAAGATAGATAGTTTAAGGTATTATATCTTGAATCAGTGTTTCATTGTGTACCTTGGTAAATAGATATTTTAGCATATCCTATCTATAAAGCTATATTTTACAATATAAATGTAGTTTGCTAATTGTAAAGATGTTATTCCCATTATATATAATGTACACTCATGAAAATTAATTGTACTGTTTCATTTAAGAACATCACTTTAAAAATGCCCTAAACCTATCTTTTTCACGTAACTTCAATTCTTTTTCTTTTTAAGTGATTTTTTTTTTTGAAGATTTTATTTATTTGACAGACAGAGATCACAAGTAGGCAAAGCAGCAGGCAGAGAGAGAAGGGGAAGCAGGCTCCCTGCCGAGCAGAGAGCCCAATGCAGAGCTTGATCCCAGGACCCTGGGATCACGACCCGAGCCAAAGGCAGAGGTTTTAACCCACTGAGCCACTTCAGTTTTTATAATCAATACGTTAAGAACTGCTAGTCATAGAATGCAGATGTTTTTAGACGTGTATTTTAAAGGCTGCACAAACACTTTCTTTGTACATGTGTGTATATAAAGGATATATTTTCAGGGCAGGAAAATGAAAGTTACTGCTAGGAGAGACATTTTAAAATAATCAAAAAGATACAATTGAATGCCTGTTTTAAATATAGCTTTTCATTAGGAAAATGTAGGAATAGGTTATTCTAATATTTGCTTAAATGATTTGATGAATTTTTGAAGGGTATGTTATTAATTTTTAAAATTATGGGGGGGCGCCTGGGTGGCTCAGTGGGTTAAAGCCTCTGCCTTCAGCTCAGGTCATGATCCCAGGGTCCTGGGATCGAGCCCTGCATCGGTCTCTCTGCTCAGCGGGGAGCCTGCTTCCCTTCCTCTCTCTCTGCCTGCCTCTCTGCCTATCTGTGATCTCTGTCTGTCAAATAAATAAATAAAATCTTTAAAAAAAATTATGCTCATTTTTACAATAGATATGTCACTGTACTTAATTTTAGTGAGATGGAATTGCCTAAGTCAGCATGTTACCTCATTATGTAAATTTCAGATCTGAAAGTACCAAGTCCATATTCAGAAGATACTGCATGAAGTAAAGGGAATGTTTTTAGTATGCAGAAAGTAAAAACCTGTCTATTTAATTTTCCTGAAAGTCACTGAGAGATTGGGAATCTTTTTTTCTCAGCTTTATTGAAACATAATTGACATATAACATTGTTTATGTTTAAGGTATACAGTTGGTTGATTTGGTATGCTTATATATGCTTATATATTACAAAATGATTATTACCATAGCATTAGCAAATACCTCCATCATGTTGTTACATAACACAATTACTATATCTTTTTTGTGATGAGAACATTTAAGATCTACTCTCTCAGTAACTTGAAATAGATATTACAGTATTGTTAACTATAGTCACTATGCTGTACATTAGATTCCCCAGAACTTACTCATCTTATACCTGCAAGTTTATACTCCATGGCCAACATTTCCTCATTTCACCCATCCCCCAGCCCTTGGTAGCCACCATTCCGTTTCTGTTTCTGTGACTTCAGCTTCTTTAGACTCTGAATTAAGTGGTATCCTATAATATTAGTCTTATTCTGACTTATTTCATTTAGCATAATGACCTCGAGGTCTATTCATGTTGTTGAAAATGGAAGTACTGTCTTCTTTCTCATGGCTGAATGATATGCCAGAGACTGTGTGTGTTTGTGTGTGTGTGTGTGTGTGTGTGTACACATACCACAGAACAGGCATCTTTAAAATATTTTGTCAGTCTAATACAAACAATTTATCATTGCTTGAAGTAGTCTCCTGAGCATCTACCATCTATGTGGCTCTGTACTTTAGGTTCTGTGAGGTTAATGTGGGTACCTCATATAGATTTTATTTGACATTCAAAACCATTATGTTTAGACAGACTAGATCAATTAGGGCACTATAGATAGTAAGAGAAGAGAGGTATTTTTAATATATATTTCAATAAAACAGTTTCTAATTATGTTGCAGGCTTTACTCATCAGTCTTAAGTATGGTTGTTTTATGTGGCAGTTGGGGGATGCTGATACATGTTTTCAGATCCATAGTATGGAAAATAAAATGAGCTTTATAGTACACACAAAACAGGTAAGCACTTATCAATTACTTTGGACTTCTAATGAACTGCTGTTTTAGCGATTTGATGAGCACTGGGTGTTATACACAACTGATGAATCATTTAACATCAAAAACAAATGATGTTTTATATATGTTGGCTAATTGAATTAAAAAGAAAAGGAAAAAAATTTTAAAGTGACAATCCATTTTGCTTCAAGAAAAACCTTTGATAACTTATGAAATTAAGATATTTAAGACCAAGGGAAAAAACATAGGCCTTGCCTAAGCAAATAAGCCTGAAACTTATCTGAATAAGTTTTATAATAGTGAATATTTCAGTTTTATAATAGTGAATCACTTTTTTCTGCCATTTCCTTTAATTCTGGTCAGTATTCCCTATTTTTTTATCAAGATATTAGGTAGTCCTTACCTCTTCTTGGTATCTGAGCCACTAGCTGCATCCAGTAGGTTGCTCCTTAAATCTCTTGAAAGCCTAAGTACTCCTATTCTTGACAAGCTGCCTTCTACAAAGAAGGTTCCTTTTCAGATAGGGAACTGCCCACTGCCATAAGTGTTTGACATTTACTGTTGCCATATATTTTACTTTGTAGGCTGGCCTTGTGGTAAAACTATTAATGAAGCTAAATGGACAGTTAATGCCGACTGAAAGAAATTCATGAGCGGAAAGCAGCTGATACTTAAGCCACCACATTTTGTAATGCAGATTTTTTTTCCATGAAAGATTTCTTAAACTATTACTTTTAACAAGGCATTTAGTCTCTTGTAATATATATGTATACTATTACATTGTACAGAATCTGTACTTCTGTTTGGTGTGTAATATACCAGTTAGTTTTATATAATATCATCATAAGCTATTCTAACTTTTGAGAGAAACATGCAAAAAAGTGTAGATTGATCATCTGTATATTAATGGACAAAACAGTAAGCTTTATAAAAAGTTATTTTTGGTAAATGGTAAAGAATTTGGAGTGGAATGTAATGAAATTAAAAAATAGGTTTGGTATAACTTTGTGTGTCATTTCAAAATATACTGGAAGTCAACAAAGTTGAATAAATAAAATATATTTTCTACTTAAACTACATAACACTGCTATTTCAAACATTTTTCTACAATCCAAGAAAATTTATCAACATGTTTTTAAAAGTCTTAGTTAAAATGTATAACTAGTATAAGTTTGTATTTCTCAAAGTATAGTTCTTGAGCCCCCTGCATCATAATTAACCTGGATGCCTCTTTATATGAAGATTTCTGGGACTCAGTATATACAAGTTCATTTACTCTCCAGAAGCAGCAGTTCCTAGGAATCTTAAATTTGGGGTTTTTTCTATTGAAATAATTCCAGATCTAGTAATGAATTTGTATTAAAGTAAATGACACAAAAGTGCCTGGCACACAAGCATACACATACATAGACACACAGATTAACTGACAATCTCTGGATATAATCTCCATTTATTACATATGTTGTATTTTTATGATTTAGCTTAATGAATCATATTGCCTTTACATTGTATGAAGTAGATCACCAAATCTCTGTTTCATTTAGGGGGAGTACTGATAGCATAGATGAGGAGCTGACTCATAATCTGAGTCATCTGACTCATCTTGGCTAATCTACTATTTAATAAGCTTAGAAACTAGTCTTTCCAAGCCAACAGTTAAATGTGTACAGAGATACAGTTAGTCATATTTGAAGTTGTCCTAAAGATTACAGATAATTTTTATATATCATAATTGACACTTCACATTAATTTCTGTTTATTTCTAATGTGCTCGTTCTGAGCCTTATTAAAATTATATGGTTAAGTAAATTGAATGAGAAAAACTGATTTTATCTCTAAATCTGTGCTAAGCACTTTTGATTCTGCATAGACAAAGCCATGTTTGGTTTCATTCATTCCAGTGGCCTCAACTGAAATACCCTGTTGACACCCAAACCTAAAATTTCAGCCTCAGATTCTCTTATGAATTCTAGATCTTAATTTCCAATTTCCTGCTATTCTAGCTCTACCTAAATGGTATACAAAAGGACTGTTTCTTCATACCTGGAAACAGAATCTGTTCCCTTTGCTTGCTCAATTCTGCCCTTCCACTTGTATTTTCTGTTTGCTTAGTGGCATCATCAAATTGCATCCAGTTGCTTAGCCTAGAAATCTTAGAGGGGTTTTCAGCCTCTCTCTCCTTTCTTATTCTAGACATTTCACTTATTGAGTCTTGTCAAATGTCTTGTGAGTGCTTTCCCATTCCCTTTTTCCCTCGTTGCACTGCATTCACCCTCGTTCAAGTCCTTATCACTTGTTCCTAAATTTATTTAACTTCCTCCCTGGCTTCCCCTGGCTGAGGCTCTACACCCTGCCCGCATATCTGCCACACTGGTGCCAAGTTCACCTTTCTTACAGATCTGATTATTTCATTGCCCTCTAAAAGCCTTTCATGGTTCCTTACTATATGTAGAATTAAATTCAACTCCTCAGTATTGCATATGGGGACCCCAATTTCATGGTCTCTAACCTTCCTATCCAGATTAATGTGTAACCACTTTTCCCACACTCATCCTGTGCTCCAGCCAAGTGTTTCCTAACCCTGGTTCTGCAGTCATGTAGGGAGTTTAACTGTGTAATGACTCAATAAATGTAGGGTGGGCTCAAGGATTTCTGTTTTGTTTTGTTTTGCCTTTTTTAAAGATTTATTTATTTATTTATTTGAAAGAGCAAGAGAGCACAACCAAGGGGAGCAGCAGAGGGAGGGGGAGAAGCAGACTGCCCGCTGAGCAGGGAGCCTGATGCGCACCCTGGGATCATGACCTGAGCCAAAGACAGACACTTAACTGACTCAGCCACCCAGGCACCCCGGGATTTCTGTTTTGAAAGTACCCCCATGTAATTCTGATGTACAGCTAGGGTTTAGAACTGCTCTTACAACCAACTTTAGGAGTTAGCTAAATGCTTTTCCTTTCACAGAGGGAGGTGAGGATGCAATCATACTACTTCAAACAACTCCCTGCTCCATAGAATACAGTGTACCCTCCTGGGTTACACAGTATGGCAGCCCTGTAGGGAAGGGAAGTCTATCAGAGTAGCTTGGTGTTAAAGACTTAAAAATATATAGCATTAGAAAGTCAATTTTCAAATATAGTATTGAGGGAAAAAAATCATTTTCTGTCAGAGAATAACAAACCAGAAATAAGCAAAAACAGGGAAATACAAGTTTTAATGAATCCCTAATATTGGTCAGACATTGTATGTACACTGGAGGTAAAAGATACCATTTTCCTTTTCATCATTCTTTCAGTAAATCTGAGTGCTATTTATGTGCCAGGGATCCAGTGGTAAGAAAAACAAAGCTTCTGCCTTAAAGTTTAATGAGGGACACAATAAATACTCATGGAAATATATATTTTTTAAAGTCCAATAAGTGATGAAAGAGAAATAAGTGTATTATGTAAGCATAAAGTGGGAAACTTGATCTAGCTTTAGAGATCAAGAGAGGCATCCCCGAGCAAGTGATGCCTGAGCTGGCATCTGAGGAGTGAGAAGGAAGGATATAAAGACATTTGAGGGAGAAGGGAAATGGAGTGAGGTGTTTTGAACCAAAGAATGGTTCTGGAGAATTGAAAAAATTTTCTCATTTTTAGCTAAAAAGTAAATTCAAACAATTGTTTATCCAAATCACAACAAATGAGTTTCCATTTTAAAAATAAAACCAACAATGAATGCTGGAACACTGAAAAGAAATAAAATAAAATGAAAACAAAACAAAACCCAGAACAGCTAACGCTACACATGATAAATGTATTAGAAAAAACCTGCTGAAGAACATATCTCATAAGATTAAAAGTTGCCAAAATTGACCACTCCCACCAACATTAGACTTGATGGAAATATTTAACAAAGTAAAACTGGCCACAGTTCTTGACCAAATTTAATAGATGAATTGGATCAATAAAATTTAGAATTTAATTTGGTCCTGAGGAACTCAATAGCAGAAACGAATTGGAACTCTTAAAAATATGCCAAAAAAGCTGGCTGATGAATCAATTCCTTGCTTTATAATTTGTACAGAAAAATACTCCCAATGAAAATAATTTCAGTAAAATGAAATGAAAAAGATAAAAATTGTTTTTGCTGTGCTAATAGAAAACTGATGAAGGAATTAAGGTGGCTTGAATTCAAGCAAAAAATACTTTCTTAACAAAAATCCATCTGTGATGGTGTGATTCTCTTTTGAAGTTTGTATTCATAAGGTCAGAATGCCTCTAAAGTATTTGGAAAGGCAGAGGTAGGCAGACTGAAAAGGCCCTAAGGCAAAAGAAGGTAAGCCCTGGGAGTTCTTAGAGGCAAGCAGCATGCTTGAGGTGAAGGAAATATCTTTCAGACATAGTACGGTGTAAGTGAGAAGGGCAATTTTATACATTGTACTACTTTCTATGATAGAAGGAAGCACTGGGGGCACTGAGGTGGTTCAATCGGTTAAGTTTCCAACTCCTTTTCAACTCAGGTCATGATCTCAGGGTTCTGAGATTGAGCCCTTTTTGGGCTCCATGCTCAACAAGGAGTCTACTTGAGATTCCTTTCCCTCTGCCTCCCTCCAGCCCTGCTCACTCTCTCTAAAATAAACAAATCTTTAGAAAAAAAGAAAAAGAAGGAAGCACTGGTTGTTCGAGATTTATTGGAAGGACACCAACAACGGATGGGAAATTAGGGACTGACTTACCCATTAGTTGAATAATGACAATAGCTAGTACTTAAAATGGTGCTTATTACGTGCCTTGGCATTGTTTTAGATATATTAATTCATTTAGCCCTTATAATAATCACGACGAACAAATACTATTATTCCCACTTTACAGATGAAGAAACAGAAAGTTAAGTAGCTTGCCAAAGAGATTATAATTTAAGTGGTGGAGCTGAGGTTCCTATCAAGGCAGTCTGGCTCCAGAGAATGAATCAGAAACATGACTGTGATTGTAATAAAAATGTAACAAGATATTTGTTTTCTTCTCAGAAGGTTAGAAGTCAAACTTTCTAACAGTGTTGTAAATATTTTCATTGTCATACACTATAACTTTGAATACAATTGTATATGAGATGTTGTTAACTTATCTAAGGTCAAAAACTAGTACATGGTAGAGTCACAGTTTAAAATCTGGCAAGCTGGCTTCTGTATTCAGACATTTGTCAGGTAAAGGGAAAGCTGGGGAGGCTTTAAAAAAAAAAGGACATATTTTAAAGGATTTTGTGTTCTCTGCTAATGAGGAGCCATTGGAGCCTTTGGGACTTGACTAGCTCAGATTTGTATGTTGAAAGATCACCCTGGGCCAGGGCTCAAAGGGATCTGAGCAAGAAAGTATAAGACGATGGGGAGAAGTGGGTTCATGTTTTGACAAAGCCCACTGACCTTTTAGATACGGGAACTAAGGAAGAGACAGGTATCATAATCCTCTTTCTGTTCTGGGCAACTGGGAATATAGTATATACTGCCTAAGATAAGGAATGGAGGATCATTTGAAGAAATGTGTTGAATTCCATTGAGAAATGGGCAAAGGTAGAGCAGCCCCAAAGCATCTCATTAGGCAAATGGTATCAGTATGCAAAAGAAATAGCTTGGTACATCCTGGATATATATATTCAATACATTTCATATGGCCAAAAATTAAATATTAAAAAAATATTTACTATCACTAGAGAAAAACAGACTAGTATTTTTAGTGATAGAGAGCACATTTATGGATATCATGAAAGATAACAATGGTGTTTAAAATGCCTTTTAAATGTACACCATCTAAAGGAAGACAAAAGAATCAAGGAATTTAGAGCAACTAACAGGAATGCAAAATGGCTCAGATGAACGCAAGTTGGCACGACCATTTTGGAAGAGTTTGGTAGTTTTTAATTTTTCTTTTTTTATTAGAGGGATGGACAGAGGGAGAGGGAGAGAATCTTAAGCAGGCTCCATGCCCAGTGTGGAGCTCAACCCCACAACCCTGAGATCATGCCCCACAACTC